TTGAGGACCTGTTTCGATAATCTGAACCGTTCACTTTTTAGAGTACATAGAATATACCTGTAAAATTTCAAGTTGATTGAATATTGTTAACCCTTTCATCCACTCATATTTGTATTCAGTTTTATACTACAAATCACATTTGTTATTTATTTTTGTAAGAGTTATGTTAGGGACCCCAAACAAATTACCAAATTCTAGCATTTTTGTGTGGATCCACACCCATGTAAGAGGTTTAGTAGAAAATTTGGTAATTTGTTTGGGGTCCATAGCATTCCTTTTTGTAAATACAAATGCAATTCGATAAAATAGTTAAAGATATCTTAGCAACTTAATTTTTTACAACTATATTCTACTCAGTATACTCTAAAAAGTGAATGGCTTAGAATGGATCCTAAAATAGGGTCATATGACCACACAACAGTGTTATTGTGTCTCCCGCCCAACAACAATCCCATTGTGCATTTAAGAATATATTAATCAATCCTGCTGTATACCCCCAGTGGGGGTCGCACCCCCAGTGAGGTGTCGCGCCCCCACTGGCCGAAACCCAAAAAAAAAAAAAAAAAAAAAAAAAACTTTTTGTAAATACAAATGCAATTCGATAAAATAGTTAAAGATATCTTAGCAACTTAATTTTTTACAACTATATTCTACTCTATACTCTAAAAAGTGAATGGCTTAGAATGGGTCCTAAAATAGGGTCATATGACCACACAACAGTGTTATTGTGTCTCCCGCACAACAACAATCCCATTGTGCATTTAAGAATATATTAATTTGCCTTGATTTTGATTAGTTTCTAATCTTTGTTACTCATTAAATTGATAAATTTCTATTTTTAGCCACTGATTAATTGAATGTTTCAATGACGTTTAAATTTGTATAAAATTAATTTATAATTAATATTTCAATTTTTCTAAAAATAATGATACTTTAACAAATTCCAAGACTTATTAAATGCGATACAACATAACTAATTACTTCATTACACATGGAGACACTTGTTAATATGACTCCATATTAATTTAGTCACACAAAAAGAAAAATGTCAAAAAGTCGCTAAAAAAATTAAAAATCCAAAAAATCATACTAAAAAGTCAAAGATCTTTTCTATTCTCTCTATTTATTTTTTTTACATTTTTTCATAAAAATTAAAAAAGTCATTTATAAACTTTTCAGTTTTGTCATTTCATATTTTAGTTACAAAAAATCAAAAACTACTAAAAAAAAAAAGTAACTTTACAAACGAACCCTAAAAATTAATCGAATTTATATGAAATTCAATTCTATTCATTGCATTAACAGTTATGATTATATCACATGAGATAGCATTTGAAATATAATAAAATGAATATATGGTAAGTTGAGCATTATTATAAAAGTAAAAATAAAGAATTGAGATTATTTTCAATAAGGATGCCCAAGTGTGTTGTTGGGTCGAAGGCTCCACCTCGAGACCTGATTTTGATAATTTAAATAATTTATTTTATAAAAATATTTGAACAATTTATTTGTATAAAAAATATTAAAGGGATAATTATGAAGAAAAAAAAACTCTAAGAGCCTTAAAATAAATCTTGAGTGTTTAATTTTATCAATTTAATTTGTTTTTAAATATAAATTATTCGTCTATTTTATTAAGTAAAATTGACCCAAAAAAAAACAGTATTTTAATCATTAAACTTAATTTAAGTATATGAGAATGCATTATACCACGACGGGTAATAATTCAATAATTTCGAAAATATAGACACGTAGTATTGCATAGTATTGTAATTGGTAGAGAAAGTAACTAAGTGTAGTATTGTCTTAGGCGATTGAGAAACATGAGAGGACAGAATAAATTATGATTGATTAAAAGTACAAACACGTGATATTTCGAAAATAATCTATAACTTTTCATACAGGACTGTCTCGTCTCGGGTCGTGATAGAAAGCTTTAAAACTAGAGCTCTAGTGATGTGGCAAACAAAAAATAAAAATAAAAATAACAATGATTCATCCCATTAAAAACATTACCACTAATAGCATTAATGCATTAAAAAAGTAAAAAAAAAAAAAATACAACTCCAAGACCAAAACATCACATCATTAATGGCGGGACCCACTGCCACCTAATTAGTGCTCCCAAGCATTTTTCAAATAAAAATGCACAAGCCAAAACATCACATCAGTATGTGGAACCCACCATTATAGCTCTATTAGAACTCTTAAATTAAAACTCTCAAATATTTTGCTTGTTTTCATTTTTCAGAAAACACTTTTCAGGAAATTTTACTTTCTTATTTTTCGTGTTTTTTTGTTTTTACGGAAATTTTTAATATTTTAAGTAATTTTTTTACTTTTTAGACACACCTAGCATAAATACACCTAAAAAGTAAAAAAATTATAATTTTTTTTTTTAAAAAAAATCACTAAATACCAAAAATACAAAAAAAATACAAGAATTCAGTACATTTTTTGTATTTCTATGTATTTATTAATTTTTTAAAATATTTTTTCACAAATTTTTTACTATTTAGATACATCTAACTAAGGTGCATCTAAAAAAGTAAAAAAAATGTTTAAAATTTAAAAAAATATTCACTAAAAACAAAAGAATACGAAAACTAAAAAACTCAGTTTTCAAAAACTTAATCCAGAAAACTCAAACCAAACACACTGATTGGTCTCGTGAATCAATTGCTTACGAACAGCAAATTAGGTAATGACACCTCACTCTTTCTTGTCTCTTCCTTCTTCCCAAGTAAGAATATAAAAATGGCTCGCGGCCTGGGGGTAGGCCAAGCCCGTTTGGGCCCAGGTCTGAGCCCAGCTCGAGCCTGTGGGCCTGGGCCATCATCTTGAATCCCAACCCAGCCCATTGGCCCGTTTAAGCCCTACTTAAGGCCTCGCCGCGCCCGAGACCTAGCATCTTTTTTAGTAGGAAATAAAATTTTGGTAGAAAAAATTTAAAAAAAAAAAAAAAAAATGATCAGGCCCGCCTAAGCCTAGCCTACCAACTTGTCCAATGCCCGAATACCCCTGGGCTTGGGTTTGAATCTAATTTTTTAGCCCGTGGTCTGGCCTGGTCCGGCCCGAATTTCGCCAGGAGCCTGCAAGGCCCAACATGAACTGGGCCGGGCTGGGCCAAATTTACACCCCTATTCCCAAGTGAACTGCCCCCGCCCAAACCAATCATCAGAGAGTACCCAAACACTGTCTTGGCCCTGACAAACTTATTTACATATCATAAAAGCCATTCATTATCAATTTGTCATATGCAATGCACTATAATGCTTGAGAAATTTGCAATTGAAGAATTAAGAAGTAACTGAAATTGATAAAAGAACCGAGCACCATGAACTAACCAGCAGGACTCAGCATTTCAAATTGAAATCGATTTGCAGAGGGAAACCCTTTTCAATTGCAATCCATAGGGATGACAATTTGAACCCGGTCCGACGGGGACCCAACCCCACGACCCCAAATTGAGCGATTTTTTTTCGAAAAATACTCCCCAACTGGCGGAGATGGTATTCAAAAATAAAATTCCCGATGATATTCAGGCCGAGGATGGTGATACATTTTCCAGCCTCGGCTCCACCTCGGCCCCGTTTAGCCCCTGATTTATATATATGTGTGTGTGTGTATGTGTTTAGGGTTTGGTGACTCACACTGTCACACACAAAACAGCTTCTCCTCTCTCTCTCTCTCTCTCTCTCTCTCTCTCTCTCTCACACACGACCGTGGCTCCTCCCTCACCACCGCTCCTCTCTCTCGGCGTCGGCGAAGTCTTTCACACACAACCGTTGCTTTTCTCTTTGCTCCCTCACCGCTGCTCCTCCCTCATCGCCGCTCCTCTCTCTCTTGTCGGTGTCGGCTCCTCCTCTCTCTCACTGGCGGCGGCTCCTCCTCTTCCTCTCACAATATCTCCTCCTCTCTAGTTACTCTCTCTCTCTCTCTCAAGGACGAGATTTTTTGCTTTTGTTCTTCAGATTTGAAAATGATGAAAATGAAGATGAAGATGATGTTGTTGATGATAATGATGTTGATGTTGTTGTTGTTGTTGTTGATGAATTGTTGTATTTTTTGAAATTTTCTTTTTTTTTTTTGGCCGTGAAATGTTCGGGGTTGGGAAAACTCGATCCCCGTTGGGGGTGGGGGCGGTGATAGGTTTCCCGTTGGGAATCGAGGCCGGAGACGGAAGAAATTCGACCATCGGGGATCGGGGACGAAGAGTGTAATCCCTGACCCCGCCCCGTTGCTATTCCTAGCAATCCATATATAGAGGTAGGCAGGGAGAAACAGGGTTTCTAATATATAATCTGGGTGCATGTATTTTATATATTGGAAACCCTTATTCAATTGTAATCCACGAACTAAACAATGATATTTATAGATCGTTCGTTAACCTAAACTCTAAGTATACATAAAATATCTTAAATATTAATTTTTATTAAATTTAATAACTAAAATATTCAATTTTTTTATTAATTTATTTATTGAAAATAGACAAATAATTTAAATTGAAAAAAAATCAAAAATTTTAAATTTTAAATTTTAAATTGCTAAAATTAAAATTTTATCTTATTATAAAATCAAATCCTAAATTTTTCTTTTTAGTTTTCTCAAAATTAAGTTATCAAAACTACCATAGTCATAGTTAATATTTTAATTTTTCAAAGAAAATTTTATTGGGCGCATAGGAAGAACCACGTGACTGTATTAGAGACCATGACGTTGGGGGGGCATGGAATAACTTTGCTTCCCAACGACCTTTCTTCTTGCATACGTCAGTTTGGCAGCCCATTCTGAGTCAAATTTATCCACCTCACCTCTAGTCAAAATTAAACCCACTTGAAAAATAAAAAAATTAATAATAAAATGTGTCTAGAACGCGTACCTTCCATTCCACCCCAATCAGTGACACTTTCTCGGAAAATTCATATGCTTCTTTTTTTTCTCAATACCCTCCCTCTATATAAACCCTTATAAGCAGCACACGTATCATCCCCAAAATATATTGCTTAGGAATATTGCTTAGGAATTTCTATTGACTTTTTGTTCATCACTTTTCAATTTAATTTTCTTAAAATATTGCTTAGGAATATTGTATTCTGTTTTCTGGCGATTGAAAGAATGAAATCAATGAGATCGCTTGCACTTCCGATCATTGGGTTCATGTTTATGGTACTTGTGAAGGTTAGCCGTGGACAGGGAGTTGCTACTGCTCCTTCACCTGCACCTCCAACCGGTGATGGTATGTCTCTCTCTCTCTCTCTCCCAACCAAAAAACAAAAAAAAATTCCAAAAAAGAAATTTAATATTACACCTTAGATTTGGAATTCTGAATAAATTTCTAATTATTTTTCTTGGTGCATAGAATTTTTCCAATATTAAAGTACAAAATGAGTTACAGAAAATGAGATTTATTTTAAATGTAAATTTCACTATAATTGAATTCAATCTCAACTTTCTATTTTTTTTTTTTTTTTTAACTGTTTTATGATTTGTATTAAGTAATTATCAAACACAGATCCTCGAAGTAATCCGAGGAGGTCAAGTGCTTAATAACATTTAAAAGGGTAAATTATGCAAACAGTCCCTGTAGTTTACATGATGTATCAATTTGGTTTTTGTAGTTTTAATTTGTTCGATTTTGTCCTTTAATTTAACGGATTGTGTCATTGTAGTCCAATAAATAACGGTTGTTAAATTAATTTAACAGGAGATTAAACAATATGTCAATTTGGTTCATGAAATTTCAATTTTCCCAATTTTGACAGGGATTAAATTGACACATTATTTGACTTTTCGTTAAATTAACTTAACAACCGTTATTTATTAGACTAAAATGATACAATCCGTTAAATTAAGAGACAAAATCGAGCAAATTGAAATTACATGGACCAAATTGACACATCGTGTAAACTACGGAGAATATTTGTATAATTTTTCCCATTTAAAATTTAGGATTATTAACTTGGACTTTTTTTTTTTGATTATTAACTTCTTTAAACTTCAGTCTTTTTTTTTTCTTTTAAATTTTATTATGATCATTTAGTTTAGTTTTGACAGGTTTAAAAACTAAAAAAAATTGTCTCAAAGTTATAGAATTTTTCTAAATTGTTTTAATTTTTAGTATGGTTTAATTTCTAAGAATCATATTTTACATTTGTTAGGCCTTTATAATCACTCCATTTGTCATTCGACTAACCCCTTAGCCCTTTAGCCTTAAAAGATGCTCTTCTTAAAGCAGTTGTTGAAAAGCAATCTTAATTTTGCCTCCGTTTGAGAAGTGGGTTGGCTTTTTGATTTTTTGGCTTTTTTAGCTATTTTAGCCTGGGCTAAAAAGCTTGGTTTGGGAAGGGCTTTTTGGCTTTTTAACTTTTTTTACTTTTTTTGTGAGAGAAGAATGTGATGATTATAGGTTGGATGTGATGTTTTGTTTGTTATGACTAAAATAGCCTATTTTGTTTTTTGTGGCTAAAATAGCCAAAAAAACCTGAAAAAGCCCTTGCCAAACACAAGCTTAATTAGATTTATTAAATGTTTGAAACTAATTCCCATCTATTTATCATCTTAATCCAGGCGCCGCGATCGATCAAGGAATTGCTTATGTCCTCTTGCTTGTAGCACTGGCAATTACATACCTCATCCATTGATGATGTTCTCTCTTCTTACAATTCTCTGTCATTTACATTTACATACAAATAATATTTAAAGTAAATTCTTTATTTTTCTCCTTTTTATTTATTTGGACACAGAGCCTATAGCAGTTTTGTATTTCTGCATTCCTTGTAAAGAAAAATTATTTAAATACAAAAATAATAATATAACTAACTTTTACTGTGTATGTTATTCCACAAATTTGTCCATTCAACCAAGAGCTACACCAAAGTCTACGAAAGTTCAACAATTGTGTGCTAAGACTATTTCTATTGGTTGATGTCACATTAATAGTGTTATAGTTAAATTTTGGAGATCGCTTCTCTACTGTTGGATCCCTAGTCTCACTGCGGGTCTCGTTTTGATAATCCGAACCGTTAATGTATAGAATTCATCGAGTACTTTAGGTATGTAAAAACTCACGCTAATTGAATATGGATAGCCCCTTGATCAAAATATGTTTTTATTAATAATTTATTTTTAAAATCATATTTACCATTGATAAAAAGTGTTCCGATTAAGGAGTTACCGATATCCGATCAATATAATTTTTTATAAACATAAAATACTCTACAAATTCTACATATTAAATAGTTCAGATCATCAAAACAAGACCCGTGGAAAGTCTCATGGGCCCAACAACATGCTCTAGTCAACGTAATGTACTTGAGAGATACCTCGCTCTTAAATTTTTGTTTGTTATTGTGTCAAAATATTATAATGGACAAATCACACTAACAGTCCATATAGTTTGGGGCTCGTTTCACTTTAGTCTCTAACTTTTCAATTGTGACACATTTGACTAGGAATTTTGAATCTTATTCTAAATAAGGATAAATGAAGATACCATTGCTCAATTTCAAATCCAAAGTCATCAATTTGATAAAATATAAATTAATTTGACCAAAAAAAATAATTTAACAATCCTCAATTAACAATCTTCAAAAAAATAAATGTCAAAAAAATATTTTCGAATTTTTAAAAATAATTTCTACCTACTAAAAATAAAATTATGTAAAATTAATCAATCTTCAATTGTCCCTATTATAATTTAACAATCTTGTTTCACTTATGCCAATTTTATTTATTTTTTTTAAAGAAATTCTCACAAAATACTAAATAAAAATGATATTTGTGAGCTCTAGAAAAAAAACAAAAACAAAAACAAACAAACAAACAAACTTATAAAATAGCCTATTTTGTAAACTGTTGAGTGTAGTCTATGATATCATAGACTAAAGGTGGTCGCGGTTTGGTTTTGGAAGATTTGCGGATTGGTTTGGACTCGTCCACATACATGTAATTTGAAAAAAATTCAACCTATAACTGCTCGCAGTGTGGGTTGCGGTTCGTGCGGATAGGGTTCACGGATGTGCAGGCAGTTTGTGGATTGGACTTTTTTCTTTAAAAATTTATTTTGGAGCCTTTTTTTTTTTCCATTTTGTAAATATTTATTTTGGGCCCTTGTCCTTCCATTTTCTAAAATGCTCCAACATTAATAATTAATAAATTAAAATTTATAAAATTAAAAATACAAACACTGTTATAAAATATTTTAAATTACAACAAAGAGATTGCAAACATAATTCTGAATCTACAGGTGCAAAAAAATCTTCAATGTTTAATCACCAACAAACACTGTGATAATAGGAATTCGGATCTTCGGTCGCACTCCCCTGTCGCACTGTCCTATCGCCCTCCAAAACGACGTCGTTTTGGAGGGTTTTTTTTTTTTTTTTCTTTTTCTTCTTTCTCTTCGGTCTGGGTTTGTTGATTGAAGAAAACCAGAGGAGAGGAGAGGGGAGAGGAGGGGAAGAAGAGGGGAGAAGAAGGAAGAGGAACCCACCACCATCACCACCGCAGAGGACGGAACCACCACCATCACCACCGCAGAGGACGGAACCCACCTCTCTCTCATCTTCTCTCTCTCCTCTCTGATCTTCCCCCTTTTTTTTTTTTACACAGCTTGGTTTTTGGGTTTGAATTTTTTTTTTGGTTTTGAAAATCTGGGCCCACCGATTCTTGGACTTGCAATAAATTCGGGCCCACCAATCTTGGGCTATTGGGCCTAAATAATTTAGTGGGCTCAAATTAGCCCCTCTTACATTAGGTATGCAAAAACTCACGCTAATTGAATATCGATAGCCCCTTGATCAGAATATGTTTTTATTAATAATTTATTTTTAAAATCATATTTACCATTGATAAAAAGTGTTCCAATTAAGGGGTTACCGATATCCGATCAATATAATTTTTAATAGATATAAAATACTCTACAAATTCTACACATTAAATGGTTCGGATCATCAAAACAAGACCCGTGGTAGGTCTCATGGGCCCAACAATATGCTCCGGTCTACACAATGTACTGGAGAGAAGCCTCGCTCTTAAATTTTTGTTTGTTATTGTGTCAAAATATTATAATGGACGAATCACACTAACAGTCCCTATAGTTTGGGGCTTGTTTCACTTTAATCTCTAACTTTTCAATTGTGACACATTTGACCTGGAATTTTGAATCTTATTCTAAATAAGGACAAATGGAGATATCATTACTCAATTTCAAAGGCAAAGTCATCAATTTGATAAAATATAAACTAATTTGACCAAAAAAAATAATTTAACAATCCTCAATTAACAATCTTCAAAAAAATAAATATCAAAAAAATATTTTCGAATTTTTAAAAATAATTTCCACCTACTAAAAATAAAATTATGTAAAATTAATCAATCTTCAATTGTCCCTATTATAATTTAACAATCTTGTTTCAGTTATGCCAATTTTATTTATTTTTTTAAAGAAATTCTCACAAAATACTATATAAAAATGATATTTGTGAGCTCCAGAAAAAAAAATAAAAACAAAAACAAGCAAACAAAAACTGTTGAGTGTAGTCTATGACATCATAGATTAAAGGTGGTCACGGTTTGGTTTTGGAAGATTTGCGGATTGGTTTGAACTCGTTCACATATATGTAATTTGAAAAAAATTCAACCAACAACTGCCCGCAGTGTGGGTTGTGGTTCGTGCGGATAGGGTTCACGGATGTGCAGGCGGTTTACGGATTGGACTTTTTTCTTTAAAAATTTATTTTGGAGCCTCTTTTTTTTTATTTTGTAAATATTTATTTTGGGCCTTTTTCCTTCCATTTTCTAAAATGCTCCAACATTAATAATTAATGAATTAAAATTTATAAAATTAAAAATACCAACACTGTTATAAAATATTTTAAATTACAACAAAGAGATTGCAGACATAATTCTGAAATCTACAGGTGCAAAAAAATCTTCAATGTTTAATCACCAACAAACACTGTGACAATTGTGTGTAAGCAGAATCCAGACAGTGCAAAAAGAAAAAATAAAAAGTAAAAGGAAGCTATTAAACATTTGAGTTGAAAGCATTGAATTTTACACTGGATTTGTGGGCTCATAATCTGTATTTACCATATTACTTTTGAGTAACTATAGATTTCATAGGTTAAATCTCAATATGTCATTGAAATTAGAAAAAAATAAAATAAAATAAAATAAATTACAGATATAAAAGGAAGTTAAGCAGGCTTCTGAAGTTTTAATCAGCGAAGAAATATGAATATAAAAGAAAGCTGCAATTTCCACTTCTAATTTTTTTTTAATATAAACTAGTCTATGTGAGGAAGAGTTACTGAAAATATAAAAAATCCAAAATAGTCACAGAAACATATTCTTAATCACCATTGAGAGAAGGGCTTGCATGATTCAAGCAAATAGACAAAACAAAACAATATCAATGAAATCCAAATTTTTTTTTAGATAAACAACGGTCCAGGTTTTTTTTTTGAAAAAAAAAAGAAAAAAAAAAAGTCTAAATGCAAGTGGGTTCTTACGGATGCGAGTTAAACCCGTAATCTACAATCATGCTATATTCCAAACCGCATCTGCTCACATTGTGTCTGTGAAAGTGCTCATTGTATACAGGTGGGGTGAGTTTGGCAGTTCGAATAACCCTATGTCCAACCCTATCATAGACCAGTATAGCATGCTGGGGCGGAGCTATGCCTAATGTACTGGGGTCAGTTGACACCAGTGAAGTTTCAAAATTTTGTAGAGTATATATAGGACTTTAACCAGAAGTTTGGGATTTTTATAAATTTACCCCATTGAAGTGATATATTAATTTTGATAAATTCTTATTTTTTCATAAATTGACCCTAATAAATTACTTGTAATTAGTTTTGTCAATGTAATTGATAACACGTATCAAACACTAGTAAATGATCTATGGAGGAATGTTCGTGCGTCATATTTGTAGGTTATATAAAATCTAATAATTGACCCCATTGAACAAAATTTCTGGCCACACCACTGATAGCATGCCACCGGCCTTATCATTTTATCATTTTTTTTTTAAAGATATCATCTTCTTTTTTTTTTTTTAATAAAAGTTTATGATGTTGGCTACGTTTATCAATTTTTTTTTTAGACATCACCATGTGCATCGGTGGATTATCACTACAATTGATTAATCAAATATTTACAAAGAAATAACATATTGTAAAAGGGGCTAGGTCGGGCCCACTAAATTAGCTAAGCCCAATCGGAAAGTCCAAGATCCAAGATTGGTAGGTCCGGATTTATCGCCATCAAATGGGCTGAATCGTTCTAAGTCTCGAAAGGGTTCGGATCCACGAACTTAGAGACTTACTCGGGCCCGGACTCGAAAGAGTATTGAGTAAGCCTAGAGATCCGAGGCACTCGGGCTTCGAACAGATTCGATCGTAATCTAGAAGCCGCTCCATTTGTGAGTCCCAGAACATTTACGGACTTGCAGCATTCCGGGATCAACCCACTAAAATCATGAGTGAAGTTAGTGCCCGAACAAAGTGCCCGAATCCCAATGATGAGGGGTGGAGATGAATTCACTCATCAGTTAATTTAGCCTATATCTGAGTCGATGTGGCATGACCCTGGAGGGTCCATGAGACTCGGAAATATTTACAGCGGGGCGTCCTCTAGGACTACCCCTAACCCTTTAGGATGATTAGTGTAAGAACCTGAATTTTTGAACAACTAATTAATTTATTAATAACAATATTAAGTCAATTAATAGTGATTATTAAATTATTAAATTATAATGATAATAGCATCATGATTAATACCAATATTAAACTCCTTTAAATAAATTTATTTATGTGATTAAATTTT